TTAAGCAGTGAGTATTGTATGAGGTTAACAGATTTTGACTTCACTCTAAACTTTTCTGTTTAGGGAACTTACCAAAGAGCATCGGCGGTTGGCGGAGATAATTGAAATGATCCATACAGCTAGCTTAATACACGATGATGTATTGGATGAAAGTGACATGCGACGAGGTAGACATCTTTATCTTCTTATATATGTCAGTTTTAAAGTTATAGAGATGTCTGTGTCAAAATATATCACAGACCTAACCTTTGGCCCAAAATTTTAGCTACTACGGTACCTGTCCATAAATTCTCAACAAACTTTCTACCTTAAATTCCTCGTTCTTATGAATGCCTGAAATGTCTGCAACGGTTGAGGGCAGCGGCTATCTAGAAATCATTTTATAGTGTTTCATTTAGTTGTTTTCTTTTATCCCCATAGATCCAATTCCAATGAATTCGATCCTTATTTGCAGGGAAAGAAAGCGTTCATCAAATGTTTGGTACAAGAGTGGCAGTTCTTGCTGGGGACTTCATGTTTGCACAGTCGTCATGGTATCTTGCAAATCTAGAAAACCTTCAGGTCATCAAGCTCATCAGCCAGGTAAGTTGTGTCATGTTTATACTCTCGAAGCCTTCATGGACTGCGATCTTGTTTCTAAAAGACTTCAAACTCAAAAGTTGAAGAATAAAACAATTAGAAAGAGGTTGCAGTCTGTTGCATACTTGCAACCTTTAATTTAGACGTAATTCTGTTAATGCTATGGCAGGTTATCAAAGATTTTGCAAGTGGTGAGATAAAGCAGGCATCTAACTTGTTTGATTGCGATGTCGAACTTGAGGAGTACTTGCTTAAAAGCTACTACAAAACAGCATCGTTAATTGCTGCAAGTACCAAAGGAGCTGCTATTTTTAGTGGGGTTGACAACTACGTAACGGAAAAAATGTACGATTATGGCAAGAATCTTGGTCTGTCCTTCCAAGTTGTTGATGACATATTGGATTTCACACAGTCCGCGGAGCAGCTGGGTAAGCCTGCTGGAACTGACCTCGCCAAAGGAAACCTGACAGCCCCTGTTATATTTGCTTTGAAGAAAGAACCAAAACTAAGAGATATAATCGATTCAGAATTCAGCGAGACTGGTTCTCTCGACGAAGCCATTGCATTGGTTAAGGCTTGTGGGGGGATTGAACAAGCACAAGAATTAGCGAAAGAGAAAGCTCATCTTGCAATCCAAAATCTCGAGTGTCTTCCCAAGACTGCTTTTCGATTGGCTCTGGAAGATATGGTGATGTTTAATCTTCAACGGATTGATTAGAGGGCTAATTTTTTTTTGGAAAGCCTTTATAGCTGTGGTAAGCATAAAGGAAGAAAGGTAAAAGATTGAAAGCTTCAACCGTTGCAAGCACTTTTCTGCAAATGTACAAAAAGTGCTTCTGGGTAAAGGTATATATGCTATAGCTGAAGCTCATTATAGTGTTGATTTAATTACACCTTCTTCATAAATTGGCATAAAAATGAAATTAATACTTCACCATTGTTGGACAATAAAATTCTGAGGTCATCAATAATTTTCACCAAAAATATTCCCTTGTTGTTCTTTGAACTTCAACAATTCCATGTTTGGTATATCATTCGTGCGTGCACGGAAATGATTGTCACATAAGAAATTTCTCGTAAATTTATTATGTCTTGATTCTTAAGTTTTTGTGATATTTGAGTACCTTCAGAAAAAGAAAAAAAAAAGAAAAAAAAAAGGAGAGTATATGCAATTTAGGTTTGTTCTTTTGAAGTCATTGAATATTGATATTCAATTCGATCTAAGGTATTAAATATCGATGATATCGGAAATATCGGTAGTTCAAAAACACGGAAATTTCGATGGAAATATCGGGATATTATCGATATCGATAAACATTGAATAAAAACCACGGAAATTGTAAGAAAAACTTGGAAATTTTTATTGAAACTTTGCAGGATGTTTATGTAGTCAATTATCTATTAGTTTATCACAAAAAAATTGGATGGAAATGCATTGCATGATAGATATAACTGATTTAAGTTGATTATATAGCGAGCTGGCAAACATTGTGAGTGTAGAAAATATGTAGTAATTAATGAAAGAAGTTTAAGCACACCATAATCATTTATATATAATGAATTAGTACAATATTTTACACTTTATACATTGTATGGTAAGATACATGAGTGACTTAGCAAGGTCTAAAATATCGATGATATCGGAAATATCGGTAGTCCAAAAAAATATCAGTAGTCCAAAAACACGGAAATTTCGATGGAAATATCGGGATATTATGGATATTTTAGACCATGTCGATCCAATGTTGAAATCCAACCAATCCAAAAAAAAAAAAAAAAAAAAATCAAATGATCAATTTTATTATGAAGGAATGATCTAAAATATCAAATTTAAGTTTTTGGCTAAAATACGTCCCTAAATTGATATTTAATGACCATATCCGACCGTCAATGGTTGAACCATATCAAGTTTGTAGAAGTACCACAAAAAACTTTCTTTTATTATAGTAGTCCCCCGCCGATCTTTCATTTTATTAAGAAATATAAGGGCAAGAAAAAGGAAAAATACAAGCGGGGGACAAAGCCAAGATTATCAATGACAAAATGATCAATGAAACCGATAATAAGGGCAAAATGAAATGTCACGAGCATGGGTAGAGACAACAAAATTTGGAACTGGAGACCACCAGTGATAAGCATAACTTCTGCCCCAAATGAAGCTAAAGAATAAGCAACTAGATTTTCTTGTCGATAAATATGTATACATATAAATCACTTTTGACAAAATCATTAAAGACGATTTTACCAATCCACCATAAGAAACCAAGAGACCGCATTAGGAGTCTTGAAAAGATAATGAATAACTAACATGAAATATGTTTCAATCCATATATCCTTCCAATCTCTGACTACAAATAAAAAGCTTCAATTATTAATAAATTTTTTACATTCTTCTTAGGAAAAAAACTTGCAAAATCACTTATGAGTTGAAGTGCTTATTAGATAAGCATTTTTAGAGAGGTCCGTTGGTTTAAAAAAAAAAAAACTAAATTAAATGGGTTAGGTTGGATCATATGTTCTGATTGTGGAGCGGCCCAATTCCACCCGCTAAATTATAGTTTAACCCGACCCTTTCGTTTGCTCGTCCCCGTTTTCCCTTGGCCTGATACACAAATTCCTTCGGCCTTTCCTGATGGCAAAATAAGCCGTGGATCTGTCAGCAACTACATCAAAGTTCATGCGTTTGCTCCACGTCACTGACGCCTACCTTTGCTCCTCCACCCTGGTTCGTTTCTAAACCCTAAACCCTAAATAGGTCTGATGTCAAACACGTCGAATTCGGGGTTACGGGTCAAATTTGGATTGGATCAGATATAGCCCATGGGTCGGATCCTGGTTTGCATCGGGTATGGAGTCGGGTCGGATTCGGGTCGGGTATGAACATCGGGTCGAATCTGGGTTTTTGGATCGGGTCGGTTTTGACCTGGATACCCTAAACCCTAAAACCCTTAAAACCTTAAACCCTAAACCCTTAAAACCCTTAAAACCTTAAACCCTAAACCCTAAACCCTAACCCTAACCCCTAACCTAAACCCAAACCCAAACCCCTAAATCCTAAATCCGAAACCCCAACCCCCTAAACCCTAAACCCTAACCCCAAAATCCTAAATCCGAAACCCCAACCCCCTAAACCCTAAACCCTAAACCCTAAACCCTAACCGTAACCGTAACCCTGAACCGTCAACTCTAAACCCTTCTCTCGACCCCGACATCACCACCACCCACCACCACCAAATTCACCACCCACCGCACAAAATCTTCCAAACACTTCCTCGGATTCGTCGAATTTCTTACAAAATTTACAGCCATTCAAGCTTTCTAGAGAGAGAGAGAGAGAGAGAGAGAGAGACAGAGGAGATGAGGCTTCTGAGCGACTGGGGACAATGGAGAAGCGTAGCAAAAGAAGCCATGGATCTGTCAGTAACATTAGCAAAGTTCATGGGTTTGCTCCACGCCACCGACGCCAACCTCTGCTCCTCTACGGCCCCAGTATGCTCCCTACCCTGAACATCTCCGGCATGCTTCTCTCCGAACACGTGTCTGGTCGCATTGGGATGGTGGGTTCCGGCGATTTGGTCCTGGTTTGGTCTCCGACGGACCCTCGGAAGATTGTGACCAAGCGTGTCCTGGGTATGCAGGGTGATAAAGTCACCTACTTTGTCGATCCCAAGCACAGCGACAGGTAGCAGACGACTGTGGTATGTGCAATTTTTACTGTTTTTTTTGTTCTAGTTTGTTGATTTTATGGTTTTGGTAAAATTTTTGTGATTGCAATGAAATTTTCACTGCATTTTGTACTTTGGGAGTGTTGGTTTTGTTGTAAAACAAGTAATTCATCTACATTTTTTAAAAAGGTTAGTAACTTGTAATTTGAATGGCATGTTCTTGGTGGTTTTAATGGCTTGTTCTTAATTGAAGATGCATTGGACGTTTCGGTTCAATAGAGCTCCATTTAGGAGTAGTGCGTATAGATTTGAACGAAGAAAATTGAGGTTTCATTATAAAACCAATAAGAAATATAGGAAGTAGCACAACCTCTTATAAGCCCTCATGCAAGATCCCCTCCTCCCAAAAATGTGGGACTCATTCTCAACATTGAATGGCTGCTGGATCATTGAGGTTGTGATAATCACTAACATATTTGTATACTGGCGGTTGGGACGGCCATCGACAGTTTTTTAACAAAACTTAGTGGCCATCTAACATATTTGACACAACCTTCTTATTCCGATCATGACGTGTAGCATATTATCAATCGAAATGCTAGTTTTGACAAGTTTTATTATCCTGTGTTCTACCTGTACACAAATTCTTTTCTTTGGGTGCTTTTCGGATTCAGAGTAGGCTGTCATGTGTGTTAAGCACCTTGAGTTATATTATGATCCAGGAGGATCTTAATGAGATGATCAAGCAATTCAAAGTAGAGCTCAAAAGCTTCTTCCCTTGTTTCTGATCTTAAAGCTGTTAGTTTCCTCTCCTACGAACAATGTTCACGCGCACGAAGAAGCACACACGCTCTGTTCCATACTTCGACTCAAAAACAATGTAAGCGCAAATCGTTAAGCCTAAAACTTTTTTATTCAACACCAATAAACGTATTACTTTTTACCATAACCAGAAGAAGAAGGGAATGACCAGTCTGTCGTATTCCGATCAGTAACATAGCAACAGATGAACTTTACTGACTTCTGCAGTCTTATCAGCAATCTGCAAGGAAAACAAGCGATGAATAGAAAAGGTCACTAACAGAAAGTAGAGTCGTAAGTTCCAACAGTGAACTGAAACAGAACTACGGAAACTTAGTATGGGAGGTTCTATCGGTCTGGAGAAATCAGAAATTAATTAAACGAAAAACCTAGAGTCGATTGCACTGAATTGCCAAAGCAGCAAATTAACAAGATCAAGCAAAACAGATCAGATAGGGCAGGCAGATAGAGATAAGGACAGTGAATTACACAATGTTCTAATAAGTCCTGCTTCTGACATTGCAAATATTGTTCGTCATCACATGATAACTAGCACTATTTCTAGACAGCCAGCATTACCCCGTTAATCAATATGGTGTAATATATCACTGCATACCTCTGTTATCAAATGGTAAACATGAGCAGTTAATGCAACCTTCACCAAGAAGGTCAAAACACTAGCCACCGAATCTCGGAACTCAATCTCCTTATTGAGTACTTAATTTACAGATATGAAAATGATACACCTAAGTAATTATTCCTGGAAATGAGCAACAAAAGGATAAATGATTCATGCTTTAAGTACAAGTCATCTAACAGCACTCGGCACATCAACCGCCATAACATTATAGAGTCATTATCGAATCCTAGAGACTTGTTCAAAATAATTCTTGGAGCCACAGAAAAAAAAGAAACAAAAGGGGCGAGGGGACGAGAATTCCATCACTGCTAAATGAAATTTGAGTGATGTCAACACTACTAGATGATTCAAGAAAACTGACTTCTAGTGCAATCAGAATTTTACCTTTGTTTCATCCAAGCACAAACTATTAAGTTCCTCCTCTTCATAACCTTTCCCCTTTGAAAAATTCCATACAGATTGCTAAGTCTAGTGTCTTTGGAAGCAGAAGCCATTTTATTGTTTAAAAGAAGCATCTGCAAAAGAAACTTATCGCATTCGCATACAGTTTCTTCCTCTATTTCTCCTGAAAGTTAATTATCGAGCCTAACAGCTACTTCTCTGTTTCGGGCCACTATTTCCTTTCTTCTAATTAGACCCTACTTCCAATTCCATCGTTTTCAAATACCACAACAAACTTGTAGAAATGGTGACAATCGCCATCCAAGACGGCCAATTTTCAAGCTTGTGTAAACAACCTGTCGACATTGCTGGCAACAGGCTTGGCAAAGAAATCTAAGATGTTGTATCAAACCTCAAACACAATGACATTTTGAAGACTCTATGACGCTCGCAACCGAAACTTGTACAACTATAAAAACTTAGCTTCTTGATAATTACCAAGGTTTTCATTTCGCAATTAAACATTTTCGCCATTTCCTCAGCATCAAATCTCTTCCACAGCACTAAAGTTTTGATTTCCGTAAGAAACCGATTGCAGTAACGAACAAATGACACATAAATATTCAAAAACATAAAAATTAGCAGACCATCGCAAAACCCATTTCTGAAAGCGAAGAAATTGCAAACAAAAAGGAGAGAAAACAATGGAAACGAAGAGCTTGAGAACTTACCGTTTTGGGAGGCTACCAAGACGCTTTCTTAACGCCATTTAGCATGCCTTTGGAGGCGAGAGCACGGAAAACGATACGGGACATACGGAAGGTCTCGTAGACGGCGCGTGCGCGGCCGGAGAAGATGCAGCGGTTCCTGACGCGCGTGAAGGAGCTGTTCCGGGGCAGCTTGGAGAGCTTGAAGCGGTTCTCCTCGCGCAGATCGCTGGGAAGGGTTGGGTCCTTGCAGAGGGCCTTGTACAGGTTCCGCCTTAGCTCGTATTTCGCCGCCAGCAAGCGGCGGTGGTGGTCTCGAATGTTGGCATTTTCTTCAGACACTGACATCGCTGCTCTTTTGGGTCAAATGGCACATTCTCTGATTTTGGTCGATGTCGGGTCCTAGGGTTTTAAGCTTTGAAGACCTGTCAAACCGGGTCGGATTTTTACGACAGGCTTTTCTGAAACGAATAGTAGAAGCCCAACTAAAACGATTCACACTGAAAGGCGCCATTCAAACTTCAAATCGGTGCCTTTCTCTTCTGTACTTTTAACAATAATCTCCAGTGCTTTCAGTCTCATAGCGTTCCATCGTTATCATCTAAAAGATGGGAGATTAATTTGCTTCAGACCTACGTGTTTCATGTTAAAATTTAAAAAAAAAAAAACTTACAAATTAGAGTGTGTGTATATATAGGAAATCTTTAAGGGAAGGGATTCCATTTTTTTATATACAAATGGGAATTAGTTGTGGAATCTACATTACATCGAACTTTAACGATCCGAACTGTCTATTTTTCAAGTTGCAACTCATAGATCATCTTTGCAAAATATTAGCTAAATCGGAAATGTTTAAGACGTCTAATTGGGTTTAAAGAAATTAACGAATACTTTGTTATATAAGAAACAATGAAATTTTATCTTGATAATTAAATAGGCAAATGGGGGTAAGGCTAGCCGACATTCACCTCTCCCAGACCCTGCGTAAAGCGGGAGCCTTGTGCACTGGGTACGACCTTTAATTAAATAGGCAAATGATTTCGGATTGAATTGAATTTTTGCAAGGATGATCTATGAATCGAAACTTACAAATAAACGGTTCGGACCGTTGAAGTTCGACTTGGAGTGGGCCCCACACAAAATCCCCATTTAAAAAAAAATGGGAATCTATTTGCATAAAGTGCCTATATATATAGGAAAAGGATCCTCGCCCTGGGGATCCTAGGGATCCTGTGATAGTGACCGTTTATCGTATATCGTGCGGTCAGTTTTCGTTAGGTACTATTTATATTTAATTTTAAATTTTAAATTTTGAAATTATTTATGACCGATCCTTTTCCATATATATACACTAGAAGATGAGCACACACTTTGTCAAAAGATACAAAATTACTATTTTGCCCTCCTCATGTCAACATTGTGTATTCAAAAGTGAGGGCAAAATTGGAAAAAAGGGCAAAAAGTTGACAAGCCCTCTCCTCTTACTAGAATAAATATACACTTACAACTTTAAGGTGACTTAGCGCATCAAAAGTTGGTTTAGTGCTTCCAAAGACTTACAAAACTTCTTATTGTGCTCGAGTTTGCCAATTCTGATCTGACTTGGTAAAACCATTGCCCAAACAAGCAACACTGAAGTGGTCTCTTGCCCAGCAAAGTAAAACAGCTTTCACTCTTCAATCACATCTTCAATGCTCATTCCAATGTTTTTGTTGTCCCCATGCTCCTCAATTTCCTTCAAGTTGGACTCCAAAACTATACCCAATCAGTCATCTTTAGTACCTTCACCTCGCTTTATCATCTTCTCTCTTCTTATCTATAACACCCATGAGTAAACCTTTTATATCTCAATTAGCTTCCTTCAAACTCTTGTTCATTTTGGTTGGTAGAAACCTGCACAAAAAAAAAAGCACCACTTCAATTTTTTGTGGAAGACATCAAGAAGATTAAGTGTGTTTCACCGATTATTGTGACATTTGTAACCTAGGCTGTTATAGAGGAGAAATTTCGGTGTCCGTGTGACTCCAGACACAATAAAACTCACATACGCCACTGCCCCTAACATTGAGGCCCACCACTATCCATGTCATGACCTCACCCCTCTCTTGCACTACTTTTATGACTCATTACCTCCGAGTTCTGGATGGAAGAATTTCTCGTTATAGAGATAGTAAAATGTAAATTTTGTAATGTTTATTTTTCCAATGAAAGACGATTCAAATTTTACCCCATCCTAGAAATTATCAGCACATATTGTGCAAATAAAGCATATTAAGTACTAGCCATACTTTCAACTTCTCCAAATGGAATGCTGAGTTGATAATCTTTCTGTTAATTAGGACTTGGATTAGTTACTAGCCTATTTTGATATGCGGTTCGGATCGTTGATGGGAATGTTAAAAATAAGTGGCATACCATAAGAGTTCACAATTTGATGGGGAAATGGGATAACATGTGGCGCAATATCATGGCAGCAAGAGAGTTTGATGGGTTTGGATTGTGCTTGTTGAGCCCTCCTTGGTGTCTCCAATTCAGCACCCTCCATGCCCATGTAATTACTATGCACACCAAGACAACACTTGGTGCAACACAACTAGCCATTGATGCTTCCAGTACTACTTTTTGTGTGAGCTTTTTGAGAGAACATTAGACAAGGGTTCAACTTGGAAACTTGTTTGGGAGGTGGAAATTGGTCTAGGTTTTATTTAGTGTTAAGTCACTAAATTAGTGTGAATACTAATTACGTAGCCCCTTATCCAAGTCCATATATACAATGTATTTATTACAAATCATTGAGTTGAAAATGACAATTTTGTCCGGATAATGCTTGACTACTAAAAATGAATAAGAATTCCTGCTCAGAATTCTTCGTGTCGGATTCACAATACTTTATGTTTATAATCAAAATCGTTCATATTAAAGAAAACTACCAAGCTCTACCAATTTTATTGAAATTGAGCCACAATTTGTGGGCAAAGACATTTACAAGCATAGGAACATTTACAGTTCTAGCTAAAAGGATTCTTAATTAAGTAATTGAAAAATCAATGAAAATATAAGCTGAACACTAAATCACACAAAAGAAAGAAGGTGAATTATTTTTATAAGAAATTGATTGGAATTTATTTGCCCATAGTTTCTACTTACATATTTTCTCTGGTAGATACATGGATTATAGTACAGTTCTACATTCATCTGGAAAATCGCATACGGCTCTGATTACAGCAAGACAATAAGCATAGAGAAAGTAAACTACGAAATAAGAACACATCGTACAAAATGCAGGCACCAAGATCAGCACAGCAGTAAGAAGATGCCCGACTCTGATGAACAAAACAATCTCTTTTAACTTTGGGGTTCCGAAGCCAGGCTTTGACATTGTTCAAGAATAATGTTACAGTTGTTCATGGTGCGTGCATCAAGGAGACCATGATTCCACAATTTGATCATAAATAATCTCCAACACCTGCCAAAGTGATTTGTCATTTGAGATTCGCGAAATATAATCAATAGCAAAGCATGATAATACTAGTTGTCTTCCGGATCGTTTTTGCTGGATAGGGGGAGGATGATGCAAAGACAAAATCACTTTATACAGATGTGTTAAATCAGATCATACGATTCACCTGTTCATACTTCATAGCAGAAGGTAAAGTCCTTGAACTTCAGGGCAAAGAACGAAAAAGGTTTAATATTATACTAGGTCCACATTTGAACGCCTTTGTACATATAATCCTTAATTTTGCGTTTGAATGAGGGACTTTTAAGTTCATGGAACTCAGGCTTAACTTGTTAGAAATGCATTACAAAAATTAGATAAGAGGGGGTTGTTAATGACTATATGCAACAAATTCGAGGGAACTAACAATCAAACGAGTGCGATTAATACCATATCAGAGCAGGGGATTTGACAAGATCATGCTCGTGCAATCTCGAAAATGCCTCACATGCCCAAGGAATATGACCGTCGGCCAATACCCTGCCATAATTACACAAAATAATTCACATAAAGAATCAAGAGAAAACTAAGGGCCTATTTGGTATTCTATTAGAATTTTTTTATCATTTCTCAAAATATTTCTTAAGAACATTTCTTGATAACAATTTTTTTTAAGAATCAAAAACTTGATTGGTTTGCGATTTAAATTTTTTAAATCTTATGACTTAAACCAGACAAAGAGATCTAAAAAGAGGGGGTCGCAAGAGAGGGAGAAAGAGGAGAGAGGCGGACAAAAAGTAAGAGATGATTGAAGAAAAGAGAAAGAAGAGAAAGGGTCGGACGAGATAGAGAGGAAGAGGAGTGAGAGAAAGAACCGAGAAAATGAAGAGAGCAGATTGGAGGGGAGACGAAAAAGGTAAAAACAAAAAGAGGAGAGAGAAAGAAGAAAAGAGAGAGAGATAGATTTGGAGTGGGAGGGAAGGAGGGAGAGAAAAGAAAGGAGTGAGTTTGAGTTTATAAACTCTAAAAACTCACTTTTTATGTTTTTAGAGAATAGCCTATATTTTTAAGTTAAAGTCTTGAGTTTAGTTTTTGAAAATAGTTCTACCAAACAAGTTTTTAAGGTCTAAAACTTGAAAATTGTTTTTGAGTTTAAAAAGTTAGATTCAAGTAGAGTACCAAACAGGCCCTAATGTTTATCCACATAAGAAAATGAAGTTGTCCGTTTTTCTCTTGATCTGGTGCTTGTCCATCATTGAGCATTATTCATGCAAATGAAGAGCCCTACCAGACGTGCCATGATATCAACGGTTATAATTAAAAGAATCGAGTGTAGAGAAATTACTGTTGCTTCCTCACGAAGGAGTTCCACATATGCATCATTTGCTTCTCATCTTTAGTCACATCAACAAAATCATCAAGCATCTACAATAGAGTAAAATACCACTTATTCATTTGCTAGATGCCAAGTCAATGTAAAGTGCTGCTAACATATTCCCAAATAAGCTTCCAAATGTTCAACGCAGATCCATGTGCATAGGAATGCAAAGAAAATAAAACAAAGTCTAGATGGCAAGAAAATATTTTCCTCGATGACTCAATCAGCCATCAATAAAGGTCTTGTCTGACTGAAAGTCAGTTGTCTAAGAAACATATGGTATTCACAAGAGAGAGGTTCAGTTTTATACCCTTCGGTCTTCAAGATCAGCAACATCATCATCAACCTCATCCTCACTATTCTGATCTGACAAAACTTGTTCCAACATCATCGGCTTCAAGCATAAAAATAATAATTAGGAATTCAGTGCCGCATATTCTAAGTAGTGTCATTTAAATATATGAGCCAAAAAGAAACTAAACTATTGACACCTGTTGGCCTTTGGAGCTAGCAACTGAGCAAGCGGCTGATATAGCAACTGTTGCTAGCAGCCCTCAATGATTATACTAATATAGAGTCATACCATAGCAGTTACAGACTTATGACACAAGTGCAAGTGCTAAGGGAAAGAATAATTTACTGTGACAGAACACGTGCTAAAGAAAAGAAAAAATATTATGGTGGGTCAGGCCAAAAAATCAGATTGCTCTCTCGTTCATAGACCAAGGAAAGAAAAATTGGCAAATTCACAAAGGCTTCCATATATGACACTTCAGAGTATATGATAACTGAAAAATTCACAAAGCTTAATCAGCATTCGGTGATGCATTCATCACATAAGTTATTCTCACCTGGGCCCTATGGGAGTGAAAGAACTTTCTCTTCCGCAGGAGGGCACAGCTGAAAATATAGAGAAAACTTCTAGATAAAAACCATATTCATATGTGGCCACATGCAAGACTAATAATCGACATGCAAAAGTAAAATACCACAGTATAAGGAACACATTTTAAAATAATTGAAAATTAACTTTAATGGAAAGTATTACACTGCTGATACATTGGCAAGTGAAAACACAGCCTGTCCACACATGATCAGTTCTGAGGGTGTGCGTCTGTGCGTGCACGCATGCATGTGTGTTTGTGTGTGCATGTGTGTGTGTGTAGATTGACAAGTTAACATCAGAGCAGCTTGGGAGCAACGGTTAGCATCCATCTATTAAGGTTCAAATTCACATGCATGCACAGGCTCAACAGAGCTATTCATCCATTCAGGTTGTTTTATCAAGTTTTGCTGAACCAATCCTTTTGGTTTCAGGAAAATAGGAACTGAACCGAACCAAATAACCAGTTCAGGTCACTTTAAGTCAGTTGCTTCATATGGTTCAGGTTGAGGAAGTTGTTGGACAGCGCTACCAGAATTTTGTTAGTTTTATTAAGAATGAGTAGCCATGCATCCAAGCAACATATGATGGATCTAAGCACACGCGAAGCCATAGATTGGTAGCTGAAGGCCAGGTAAAACCTCATACATTTGGCTTTGATGAGAATCATATACACCCATAAGTAATTACACTGCAGTATTTCATGAGAGAGAGAGAGAGAGAGAGAGAGAGAGAGAGAGAGAGAGAGAGAGAGAGAGAGATACTTTCTAGGGTCTGGGCGCTCAACAGATAACTTTCTTGTCTTTGCAAATGGAAGCGTTGGAGGTGCAAAATTGTTTCCCGATACTGACTGAACGCAACCAGGATCACCATATGACGGTAGCATGGAGCTTGAAAACCCTGCAACATTAAAGCTGGATTAAACAAATTTCAGAGACAGCAGCACCAACCGTATCATTCTGCAGATTACTCCTACCTGATATTCTAGCCTTATCACCTCTACTAGAATGAGCATCTGAGCAAAGAAGTTGAGTGTTTGACGACAATATCCGGAAAAGGATTGCAATAAGAAATATTAGTTTAATCTGCCTAAAAGAATAATAGACTCCAAAATTCTTTTCAGACATTAGGTCGTACCCAGTGCACAAGGCTCCCGCTTTACGCAGGGTCTGGGAGAGGTGAATGTCGGCTAGCCTTACCCCCATTTATGGAGAGGTTGCTCCCAAGTCTCGAACCCGAGACCTACCGCTCATGGGCGAAGGCACTTGCCATCGCACCAAGTGCGACCTCTTTTCAGACATTAGGTAAGGAAAAAAAAATTACAATGCACCTTTAACTCAATATGTTCTTCTCAGCGTAAAAATAGGAAAAGTTAACTATGTGTTACAAACATAGAATAGCTATTTGTGTCACTCCAAAGCAAGTCTAATAGAGACATTGCTCAATTATTCAGGCCTAATTTAAGTGAATTCTCGTAGAAAATAATATTCGACGGATGCTTTGCAGGCACCTGAAGGAGTTACTACATAGGTCTCCAGGAGAACAATGATATTTCATCTGCAGTCCGGAGCTTGAAATTTCATGTTGCAGGACATGTTCAGATTAACTATGTCAGGAACACTTCGGGTTCCTAACAATAATCCAATCAACTAGTCAAGACACACATGAGGATTGGTTGATCCATAATTTTTGGACCATACACTTATTTTGCAAGGAATTAATACTTATTCAAGTCTTCACCATTACTAAGATATATCTTTCCCATATAATTCCAGAGAAAATAATTCTTAGCTAAAAGACAGTTCAAATCTTTGACACAGAGTTCAAAAAGCCTTATTTATTCCATCTTTTTTGTCCTTTTTGGTTGTCTAACCTCCATTGACTTTAAAACAACAAACACCCACCCAAAGTATAACATTGCAAAATACATATAAAGGAGAAACAAAGAGAGCTTCAGCACCTTCTACTTTCTCAAATTTTTAATAATAATCGATCATGTAGTCAATTCAGATAGTTTATGTGAACATGAGAAAGAACATGTACCATCGGCCTTGTCCAAAAGCTCACAAAGTCCAGAAGGAAAGTCAGACTCTAAGACGTGAGGATGTACGTGCTTTGCATTTTGATATAGGCTCTTGGGTCTTCTGCGTCTTAGTGGCTTTGAGCTGGGAAATGCATGAGCTTACTCCTTTCAGTTTAAGGCATTCATATATCTCAAATAAAATTACATATGGGCCAATAAAGAAGAGAAAACTTACCAAAAGGAGAATACTTGTTGCTTAGGATCAACACCATCAGCAACAATCTGAAGAGAAAAAATAAGATCTAAATTTCTGCAGCTAGTTATCAAGGTATTTCTGCATTTTTTTTCTTTTGTACCACTACCATCTGTTTTTTAAGAGAATGTATTCTCAAAGTTAACTACAATTCATAAATTGGCATAATAGTCGTTTCATCTGTCATCTTCGGCAGCCAACATCATCTTTACTATTTCAACATGTATATGTCCAAAGAAACTAGAAAAGATTATATCATGATGACATTTTCCCTAATCTAATTCCAAATTAAACATAGGACAACTCATGATTGGGGAAGCAACCTTGTATGGGACTTGCTCAATTCCTCGGGTAACAATATACACACACAATGTAACATTAAATTTTACTGAATGGAATGAAATATGGTTGCTAATACTTAATACAGAACTTGATCGCTGAGAAATGTTATTTTGCTCTATCATCAAATAATAGAAGAACACATACCTCAGATCCCCAATAATTAGTTTTCACAGACACATTTACAGCTTGATACTCTTCGGTTACCTATAAATAATCATCATTTTAGTAGCCATTGGTCTACCATAATTAAATGAACATAATCCCACTAAGGTTCTCACAGAATACTAACCCAAAATTCAAAGTTGAAGAGATCATGTGATGAGAACAAATGATGTCTCAGACCCTACAAAAAAGATTGAATAGATTTTAAGCATCAGTCATAAGTGCACTAGCTATTGGTTCAATTTCAGATTGCTACACTCCTACTTTTCCCATAAGCTTAAGCTATTAGAATCAATTCTATGTGTACCAAGACTTCAACTACGAGAGGGCAGGTACTATTTTTATTTTAATGTGGAATTGAGTGGCACAATTTGAGCACAAGACCTTCTGCTTTGATACCATGAAAATTTGTTATTTTTCCTAAAACCTAAGTTGTTAATATGTGAAGTAATTAGTTATCAATATACAATAAAAAACAGATTTTGGCAGAAAGTTGCACCTTGAAGCTTGCACAACTAACCAAGCAAAATGGACAAGAAAAATCTTCGGTTACTGCAAGATGAACAAAGGATTATTTCACAAACAAGGGAATGTGTATTCATTGGTATACAAAAATATATTAATTGGTTAAAGAATGTGAGGAAGAAGAAAAAACACATTAATTGGAATACAAAAATATTTTTTTTGTCTTTATTGACAAGGAAATGGAAGTATAGAATAAAATTACCAATTTCCATATTTTAACGTTAAGCTGCCAACATGTCCCATAACGAAAATTTGGAAGTTGCCAACAATTAAAAGATATCATTAATACCTTCTGTCCGTTGCAATGTATTGTTGTAGTATCTATAATTAAAAATCACATTTCCTGCCCTTAACCTGGACAACACAAGTAACAAATATTTAAGCATATTGCCAAGAGCTCAAACATAGACATATACATACTGATATAAAAATAAAATCCTCATTAAAATCAGCTTAAGATCACACAGATTTTGTACTCTCCATGAATAGCATGACAAATCACCCATTTGCATGCAAGAAAATGAAGTATAAGAAGTTTTTTGGGAGTATATCCAAATTAAGTTCATAGAGTCTGTTCTTATGGAAAAATACCACGAGACTAATGATCAACTATTTCAATTTAGACTGAAACAAGAAAATTATAAAATACAAGTAGTGACCCAAAAACTAAGTTTTATAAATGATCAAACAAAAAACAGTATCCGATAACAACAATTTCAGGGAAGCAAAAAGTTAGAAGGAATAACAGAATGACGTGAACAGGCAAATTTACTTGATGAGAGATGAAAATTACCGAATGATATGAGGCAATGATGAAGAAGGAATGTCACTACATATGTAAGTGCTATAAGGTGATTTTTCCCTAGCACCAAATTCCTCTGCAGAAATGGTGACCTGCACTAGCTGAGAAATGACCTTTGAAAGGCCCAAGCAACCAAAAGTAACAGATATTCATCAGCAACAGTTGCCAAGAAGAGAATGTTGAATACACATACATGTATGTTCCGTGCCTAGAGAGAGAGGAGAGATTCAAATTATTGATCTAAGAAGAAAACACTGAAAAAAGAACATACAACAGTTTCTGGATTATGGGGAGTTGCAATCATAAGGCACTTGTTCTCATTTAAACAGCTCAACTGCAATAGGGAAAAGACCAAATCAACTGAAAGTGGAGAAAAGAAGGCCTACAATTATACAGGTCCAATCACGAATAAGAGATTGGAGAAAAACTAAATTATTTTGACAGCTACAATGTCATAAGGTTTACCACATTGTTAACCAGGAGCTCTTAGTCAAGAAAATTACAAATAGTTAATCAATAGTCAGGGAACTGATGCCATACCTTCAAGAAGCAAGAGCGCATGTCAGTTGTTGAAATCATCTCAGCTCTCTGTCCCAAACCAAAATTAGGAGAATTCTCCCAAGAGATATAAAGTAATTCAAGTGGTATCTTGCTCCATAGACAATATCCTCCTGCATTTGCTGTCAAGCAAAATTGACAGTGAATTTAGAACCAGAATAAAAATAGAACTGATTTGAGCAATCAATCTCATAAGAAATAAGATTAAAGTCGGTAAACTAATTCTCAATATTACAAGGTACAAAGAATGTTTCATCTTTCACTCCACATATCTTGGTGTGAAGAAACATTTATTCACATAGTTTAGACAAGGGCATGACATAAAGTGTACTCGTCCTATCTTATTTTTAAAGTTGGTAAAATAAATCAGAAATTCAAAAATTTAGGGAGCTGCAAATGGGTCATATAGTTAAACATCTGGTCTCTACATATTGTAATGTGCCAGCATCATGTAGAACATAAAGTTTACTAGAGAAATCCAAACTGCAAAATTATGTCAGACCTGTCACAAATTTAAATTTTAATCTGTTAAAGAACATAACAAAATTCAAACATGTGATAGAGCTTAGCAAGTAAAGCTTTAACTTACAAGGGAAAGAAGACATATCCACAGGACCCTTGGATAAATTGATTCCACGAAATGGATTTTGTGCTCCCACTACAATGAACTAATATATGAGCCCAAACATTTCGATGACATCCACATAAAAAAGGTTTCCATACCAACAAAATTTCACAAAAAGTACCAAAGCTGACGAGCAAGATTGCAAGTGAGCCAGATTTAGCCTCCAGTGTTAGCTTATTAATGTCAGGCAGAATAAAATGTGCTTGAAGTTGACTACTCCCATCAACCCCAGTGGAATTGCTTAACATGCAAGCTCGACTGAATCGATATGTAGCAGAATACTTGTTCATACATTCCAAGACAGAACTCTTATCAGATACATGAAAATGAAACCGGAACAAAGCAACACACTGATTAACAATTCGAAAACTAAAAACATACATAGACATACCTCTGGAACCGCAACATCAGGAACTAGTCTGGCCAAAACACATACAAAGGAAAGAGATTATGGGTTTGTACACCTTCCTTCTCATACATCGAAATGGAAACCGTCATTTGTATCCTAAATTTCAACCAACACCAACCCAGTCAGTAAAAAAAAATTAGCACACACTTGTATAGACACAAAAGTTCAAATTTTAATCGCTGCCATTACCTCCTTCTGTGCTTGGCCTCTATTTTGTAGCTCAAACATCTTTGAAGAAACGCCGGCTACATTCGAAAAATGCACACAAACCCATTACAAAGTGGCCACCGAAGTATAAATCCTCGATTTCATTGGTCACGTAAATGCAAATAATTTAGCTGAACAATACGAAATAAATTAGTACATTTCTAATAGCGCGGCGTTGGAGAATGTTGTAGAACTCAACAGGCTTGCAATAGACAGAGAGGCTTTCCTCCGCCGCAATTTCTTCCTCCGCCGACATCCGCACCCGCGCCTCCTGCCGGCACATGTTACCGCTGCCGCTGCTGCTCCTCGCGTACCTGCAACCAAAGATTCAATTTTTCTAGCGGAAAGTCGCAGCAACAGAGGAGTGAGAGAGAACCCACACGAGGAAACGAGAGCTTACGGAGCCAGGAGGAAGAATTGGAGCTGAAGACGAAGAGATTGGGTGGAGGAGAAGGTTTGGTGTCTGCAATTCTTCTTCTGGCTTTTGGGTTCTTCTCGGTGTTTCCTTCCTCATCGAAAATCGCGATGGACGCTCTCTTCTACCAGACTCCCTCACTCAGTCTCTGCGTTACGCTGCCATTTTTCTCAGCTGGCAACTTCGCCTCTTTCTTCAGACCAAAAATTATATTTATAATCCTTTGCCTTTTGTTTTGTTTTGTTTTTTTTTTTTGAAAACTAATGGAAAATGTTTGAAAATTTTGAGTTTTAATGGTAAAGATAATAAAAGATAAAGTGAATAGTACATGATTGACTTTTTAGTGTAAAAATATGATTTTTCGTTAAAGTAAACAGTACATGAAGTTTTTCGTTAAAATTTCTTCTTCTTTTTTTCCAAGGTTTTGTTTTCGCTTAATTTTGAAGAAAGAAGAAAAACGATAATCACGCACGCTTTAAATAATAACAATGGACGTTTTATAAAGCGATGTGTATAAAATAAAAAATATGTAGTTATCATTTCTCGTTTTAGTAATTTAGACAGATCTGTGATTTGCTTGACTATAAATCTAAGTGTAATTTTTAATCATTTTATCAATCCAAACCAAATATTCAAGATTTTTACCAAAATATAGATTATGACCAAGAAATCCAAAAGAAAGTAATATGATCTATGAGTTCAGTTGACCAAAACCAAAAAATCTATGAGTTCAGCTACAACGTTTATAGTCCAACTCAACTAATTTTGGGATTTTGAGATTCCTCGAGATTGATTCATGTTTGACTCGGTCGTAGTATTGTTTTTTTTAAATGTATTGGCTTTCCTTCTTCACATCGATGAGGCATCTATTAGGAATGTGCATTTATCATGAGACGTGTCATGTTATAAGTTTATTTGTGTTTGCTTAAATAATTTTTAATTTTTCATCCAAGTTCAAGCTGGTTTTAGAAATGAGCTAAACCAAGCTAAGGTTCAAGCTTAATCCATAAACGAGCCAATCTCGGCTTTAGTTCAAGCTTGAAACTGAACAAGCTTTGACCGGCAGTGTAAATAGTCATATTCTGCAAGACTTGGCCATTCTCTAGCAAATACTTGGGTACTTCAATCTGATCATCTGGATTTCCCCTGAATGCCCTCATGGAGATAGCTTTGATGTGCGACGTCAAACAAATAGGAGCAAACTCTGGTGGATTCCATGGAAGATCTGAGGATTCCACATAATCTCGGTTTACTTGAAGCTTAATCATCGAGCTTTTGTCAATTTTGGCGGGGCGGCGGTACTCATACTCATTTTGCAAGACAAGGGAATGTAGAGCAGATGATCTCTTGAGCAACTCTATTAGCATTTCCCACCCCTAACAACAGCTGTGAAGAACCAGCGTCAAATCAATTTTCTCAAAATATCAAACGCAGGCACAGGCACCTTCATCATCTCTAGCTATCATGCCAATAATGATGAATCTTGGCTTCGAGTAGGGATTATTTACTCTCCAAGATATAACTTGACAAAAGCTGCTCACACGATATCAACTTTTCCAATATTTGGTGCATTTATAAAAAAAATTGTCTACATCTTGAAGTTCATATGAAGTGCTCAGACTTATGCTTAACCTCTTCAGTTTAGGCAAAAAACCTTGTCTGAAAGGCTAACGTCAATGGTCAAATCTTCAAGTACAGGGCATTGAGATAAAAGTTTTTCCATTGAGTGAGTCTGAGGGTAATGAAATGTGATGTAGGAGTACTGGCAACTAAATCTGTCATCAGCTTCATAACCATTAGCGTTTTGCACACGAAAAGGCTTTTAGGCAATTCAAATTGCTCGTAATTGTCAGATGATTGAACCCGAAGATCAAGTTCCTCAGCATTACACCTAATAGCAGTGCGGATCGAAGCATCAACATGAGAAAAGTCATCCACATAGTTATTAAAAAGACGGAAGTTTTGAATGTTGATGAGTCACGAAAAAAGAGCACATGATCGACAAACTCCGAAAGTCAGCAGAGGAGGAGAAATCTCGATCGCTGAAGTCTAGATTGGGAAAAGAGACAATATGTTCTTCCATCTTGTAGACAATACGCTGGTACTCACAACATGTTTTGCTGAAAGGAAAAAAGTATGTGACAAGGAACTGCATCTGGTAGTCACTGATCCTATTTTTTGCTTGACTGTCAGACTTCGGACCCATTTGTAACCTGATGCAGTTTGGGAAATATTGTCAAGTTGCAGCACACTTTTTAAATTGGTAATTCACTGTCAAGAAGCTTTTGTATAAAAAACTTCACATAGAAAAGGCTTTTCATTTTTTGGTCAATCTATATGCTCTATTTTTGCTAATCAGAAATTGATGCAGAAAAAAAAATATAAAATCAGAAAATTCCTTTGTTTTTGAGTTATAATAGCTGTACAATGAATGATAAAAACAAGTAAATTTAAAATGTCTTAGCTTATGTTTTGTTTAGAGACCGTTTGATAACCATTTGGTATTCAGTTTTCATATATTGCAACATCAAAATCTCATTGTCACATCCTAGTCTCGAGTCCGGCGTAGCACGATATTATCCGCTTTGGGCCCCCGCCACGCTCTTACAGTTTTGTTTTTAAGAACTCACACGAGAACTTCCCAGGGGATCACCCATCCTAGGATTGCTCTCGCTCAAACTCGCTTAACTTCGGAGTTCTGATGGAACCCGAAGCCAGTGAGTTTCCAAAATGCCTCGTGCTATATGGAGGGGAGTATGTACATATAAAGCACATCATCTCCTTTCCGTTGGTCAATGTGGGATGTTACAATCCACCCTCTTAGGGGCCCGACGTCCTTGTCGGCACTCGCACCGAATGACATAGTGACTTTCATACTATTATGTCACATCCCAGTCTCGACTCCGCCATAGCACGATATTATCCGCTTTGGGCCCAGCCACGCCTTCATGGTTTTGTTTCTAGGAACTCAGACGAGAACTTCTCAGTGGGTCACCCATCATAGGATTGCTTTCGCTCGAAATCATTTAACTTCGGAGTTCCGATGGAGCCCGAAGTCAGTGAATCATGCTATATGGAGGGGAGCGTGTACATATAATGCACATCATCCCCTCACCGTTGGTTGATGTAGGATGTTACAATCCACTATTATGTCACATCCCAGTTTCGACTCCGCCGTAGCACGATATTATCCATTTTGGGCCCCCGCCACGCCCTCACGATTTTGTTTATAGGAACTCAGACGAGAACTTCCTAATGGGTCACCCATCATATGATTGCTCTCGCTCAAAGTCGCTTAATTTCTGAGTTCCGATGGAACCCGAAGTCAGTGAATCATGCTATATGGAGGGGAGCATGTATATATAAGGCACATCATTCCCTCATCGTTAGTTGATATAGGATGTTACAATCCACCCCTCTTAGGGGCCCGACGTCGACGTCCTCATTGGCATACTTGCACCGAATGGCAGAGTGACTTTGATACCATTATGTTACATCCCAATCTCGACTCCACCGTAGCACGATATTATCCACTTTGGGCCCCGGCCACGCCCTTACGGTTTTGTTTCTGGAAACTCACACAAGAACTTCCCAGGAGGTCACCCATCCTGGGAATGCTCTCGCCTGAACTCGCTTAACTTTGGGGTTTCGATGGAACCCGAAGCCAGTGAATTCCCAAAATGTCTCATGCTATATAGAGGTGGGCATGTACATATAAAACGCATCCCCTCCTCTTCGTTGGTCGATGTGGGATGGTATACTCATAATTTCAATCATAGTAAAGTCAGAAAGTTTTACCATCTACAGAAACAAACAAGAGGAAAGACTTGAATTTTCTAACCCTATTTACCAAACAGATAGAGGGTTTAGTAACAAATAGTTCGACCGAAGACTTAAGCATTGTTCATCCACGAAGCACGATACCTAGATAAAGATACGAATTCATTATCGTTCCCTTTTGAAAATTTGTTTGGGCTATTGCCTCATTTGGTAGGCCGGATAATTAAAGGATGGGAGATTTTTTGACGTTAATTGGACTTCGGAATGGGATAAGATTTATCTGGCTCAATTGACAAGAATTAAAAAAAAAGACCAAGTAAACAGGTGAAACACAAAACGAAAACGATACTCAATTAACTGTTTGCCTAGCAGGTAGGTTTCAGACTAAAAAAATAAGCACAATACTGTCAATTGTTTGTCAAAAGGGTGCTCTCTTGAGCAAATCAAAAGAAAATGAAGGAACAGAATTAACAGAGGTAAAATGCGGAGTGCTCGCCTAACAAATACGACAAACCAGCTTCAATGTTCTCTAATTATCAAAAGCAGGCAGAAAACAAGAGTGTTTGAAAGTTGATATAACAAAATACACCACGGAAATAAAACTGCCAACGATTCTTTTACAACTTCGAAAATGAAATCTTTTGGAACCCTAGAATATGATACCAAGCCTAAAATTGCATATCAACTTCACACGTCTTCGAGCCCCTTTGAAACAGAAAAAATTCCTCGAACAACGCCTTCTTCTGTTCATCCGAAGTCACCTCTGTAGAAATGGTCATCTTATTCAGCACTTCGCCGTTCTTTAACAAATACTTTACCAATTGCACCTCATACCGCGTTCCCTTGTATCTGTTCACAGTGATAGTCTTGAGGTGCGACGACAGAGAAATAGGCACAATCTCTGGTGGATAAAATTCATGCTCAAAGTCTTCTTCATTGCATTCTGAACATTTCACAAACTCTTTATAACAATCAACGAACGCGCCAGAAATCAGGCTGCCTGCTGGAATAGGAGTACTATAGCTGTAACTGCGTTGTACTTTGTGTTCAAAGACGAGATGTTCTAGATTAGGTGATCTTTGGAGTAACTTTGTTAGGAATCGCCAGTAATCACAGTCAAAAAGAACCAGCTTCAATTGGTTCAAATTGTCAAAAGCAGGCAAATCACCCTATATGGAAATAAGTTCAAGCAATGATCACAGATAAATTCATACAAAAACTGACCATTTAGTTAGCATAATTCAATGTAGTGTAAAGAAACAAGTTAAAGAGATACTTACCTCCAAATTATGTGCTGAAAGAGACAGGTATTTGACATTGCAGATATCTTTAAAAATCGCAATTGCACGATCATGTTGTTCTGCATATTGGTGAATATCTTCCACATCTGCAGACTCCCCACTAGGCTGTTCTTCGTATGGGAGATC